CCAGTCTGGTAGTCAGGGCTAGATCAAGGGAGACGTTCACTGCCAGTTGGTTTAGTCGGGGCGATCAGGCAGCAACTGCTTCACTGCCGTCGGTAGTCAAGCTGTAAGGCAGCAGACGGTTTCACTGCCAGTCTGGGGTCGGGGCTAGATCGGGGCATATGCTTCACTCCATTTGGTAGTCTGGGCTGATCAGGAGCAGACTGTTCCCCCCATCTGGTGTCGGGCGACGGGCAGCAGATTTTCACTCCCGTGGTGTCAGGGCTAAAAGGCAGAAACTGCTTCATGCCAGTCTTGTTCAGGGCTAGATCAGGGAGCGACGTTAATCCCAAGGGGGTTGTCGGGGCTAATGGGGAGCAGATGCTTAACTGCCAGACTGGCAGGGGCTAGATCGGCAGAGACTGCTTCACTCCCAGTCAATAGTGGGGCTAGATCAGGCAGCAGATGCTTCACTCCCAGTCGGAGTCGGGGGTAATCAGGGAGAAATTGCTTCACTGCCAGCGGGTAGTCGGGAGTAGGCAGCAGTCTTTATCCCAGTCTGGTAGTCATGTTAGATCAGGCAGCAGATGCTTTACTGCCAGTCCGGAACCCAAGGCTAGATCAAGGGGGAGGCGCTTCATTGCCAGTTGGTAGTCGGGGCTAGATCGGGCGCGGGGACTGCTTCACTCCAGTCTGGTGTCAGGGTTAGATCAGGGAGCAGACTGTTCACTGCCGTCGGTATCAGGGCTAGATCAGGGAGAGACTCTTCACTCCCGTCTTGTGTCAGAGCTAGATCGTGGGGAAAATTGCATCACTGCCGTCTGGTATCAGGGGATCAGGAAGCAACGTTCGCTCCCAGTCGGGAGTCGGGGCTTTATCAGGGAGCAGACTCTTCACTGCCAGTCTGGTAATAGGGCTGATCAGGCAGGAGATGCTTCACTCCCAGTTTGTAGTCAGGCTGATCAGGGAACAGCTGTTTCCCTTCATTTTGGTAGTCGGGGGTTGATCGGCAGCAGACTGGTTCACTGAGTCGGGTAGTCAAGGCAGATCAGGCAGAGAGTTCACTGCCATTTGGGAGAAAAGGCTAGATGGGGCAGACTGCTCACTCCAGTCGGGGAGTCAAGGATGATCAGGGAGCAAACTGCTTCACTGCCAGTCGGTAGTAAAGGCTAATCAGAAGGAATGTTCACTGCCAATCTGGTAGTCAGGGCTAGTCGGGAGCAGATGCTTCACCCAGTCTGGTATAAAGGTTAGATGGGCAAAGACTGCTTCACTGCCAGTCTGGAAGTCGGGGCTAGAAAGGGAAACTGCTTCACTCTATTCTGGTGTCAGGGCTAGTTGGCAGCAGATGCTTTACTGCCAGTCTGGCAGTCGGGTGATCGGGGAGCGATGCTTCACTGAGAGTATGGTATCAGGGCTGGGTGGGGGCCTGCTTCACTCCCAGTCTGGTAGTCGGGGCTAGTATTGAGCAATGCATAATGCCATTCATGTGCGGGTAGATAGGGAGAAAAATGCTTCGCTGCCAGGGGTAGTCGGGGCTAGATCAGGGGCGACTGTTCCTGCCTTTTTGTCAGGGTAGTCGGGGCAGCGATGCTTCATCCCTCTGGTGTAGGGCTAATCAGGGAGCGACTGCTTCACGCAAGTCGGGTTTGTGAGGGTAATCAGGCAGCAGACGCTTCCTGCCAGTCTGGTAGTGGGCTAGATCAGGCAGAAAAACGCTTAATTGCCAAAAAGGTACAGGGCTAGATCAGGGAGAGACTGCTTTTTGCCAGTTGGTATAAGGGCTAATAGTGGGGAACTGCTTAAATGCAGTTCTTATCGGGCTAGTCGGGGGAAAACGCTTCACGCCTTTGGGTAGTCAAGGCTAGATCAGGAGCAGATTGCTTCACTGTCATTTGGGAGTCAGGGCTAGAACTGGAGCAAATGTTCACTGAAAATTTGGGTTTTGCATTGCTAGTATGGAGCAGACTGCTTCACTGCCAGTTGGTAGTCGGGCTAGATCAGGACCGGCTTCCTGCCAGTTGGTTGTCAGTGCAAATTTAAAACAGACTGCTTCAATGCCAGTCTGGTAGTCAGGGCTGATCAGGGAGCAGACTGCTTCACTGCCATTTAGTCAGGGCTTGATTAGGGGGCAAACTGCTTCATGCCATTGGGTAGTCAGGGCTAGATCGGGGAGCAACGCTTCACCCCCCGTCTGGTACGGGGCTGATCAGGCAAAGACTTCTTCACCAGTCTCGTAGTCAATGCAGATCGGGCAACAGACGCTTACTGCCAGTCTGGTAGTCAGGGCTAGGTCAAGGAGCGGATGTTTTCACTGCCAGTGTGGAGTCAGGGCAGATAAAATGCGACTGTCACTGCAGTCTGGTATCAGGGTGATCAGGGAGCAGACTGCTTCACTGCCATCTGGTAGTCAGGGCTTGATTAGGGAGAAAAACTGCCTCACGCCAGCTGGTAGTCGGGCTAGTGGGGAGCAGACTGCTTCACTGCCAGTTGGTAATGGGGCAGATCAGGCGGGAGATTCCCTTCACGCCAGTTTGTTATCGGGGCTAGACGGGAACAGATGCTTCTCTGCAGTTGGTAGTCGGGGCTAGATCAGGCACAGACTGGTCACTCCCAGTCGGTATCAAGGCAATGAGGCAGCAGACTGCTTCACGCCAGTCTGGTATCAGGTAGATCAGGGAGCAGACGTTTCACCCCAGTCTGGTAGTCAAGGCTAGATTAAAAGGAGACTGCTTCACTGCCAATCGGTGTCAGGGCTAGTCGGGAGCACACTGCTTCACTGCGTCGGTAGTCATGGCTAGATCAGGGAGGGATCCTTTACTGGAATTGGTGCGGGGTTTTATGAGGCAGCAGACTGCTTCACCGCCAGTTGGAAGTATGGCTAATCAGGTAGAACTGTTCACTCCCCAGTCTGGTATCAGGGCTAGATGGGGAGCAGACTGTTTTCACTGCCAGTCTGGTGTATTTAGTCAGGGAGCTGATGCTTCTCTGCCAGTCGGGTAGTATGGCAGACGGCAGAGACTGCTTCAGCCATCTGGTAGCCGGGTCTGATCGGGCAGCAGACTGCTTCATGACAGTCTTTTTGTCAGGTAGATCAGGGAGCGACTGTTTTCATGCTATTCTGGAGTCAGGGTAGATCAGGCAGCAGAATGCTTCTTAAAGTTGGTATCAGGGCTAGATCAGCAGCAGGATGTTTCACGCCAGTTGGAAGTCAAGGGCAGATCGGGGGCACATGTTTACTGCCATTGGTAGTGGGGCTGACAGGGTGGACTGCTTTCTGCCAGTCTTGTAGTCAGGGCTAGATCAGGGAGAGACTGCTTCACTCCCAGTCTGGTATCAGGGCTAGATCAGGAGCAGACTGTTTCACTGCCAGTTTTGTAGTCGGGGGTTAGATGGAAGCAGATGCTTTCACCCCCATCTGGTAGTCAGGGCTTGATCAAAGCGACTCCTTCAGTGCCAGTTTGTAGTCAGGGCGATCGGGAGCACTGCTTCACGCCAGTCTGGATCGGGGTCAGGCAGAAGACTTCTTCACTCCCAGTCTCGTAGTCAATGCAGATAGGCAACAACTGCTTTACCCCAGTCGGGTATAGGGGGGTTTAAAGGAGCAACTGTTTCACTGCCAGTGTGGTGTCAGGGGTAGATCAAAAGCAGACTGCTTCCGCCATTTGGTGCAGGGCAGATCAGGGAGAGACTGCTTCACTGCCATTTGGTATCAGGGGCTTGTTGGGAGCAAACGCTTCACCCCCCAGTCGGGTAGTCAGGGCTAGATCGGGGAGAGCTGTTTTCACTGCCAGTTGGAAATCAGGGCTAGTAGGCAGGAGATTGCTTCACGCCATTTTGATGTCGGGGTGTAGGGAACAGACTGCTTCTCTGCCAGTTGGTGTCGGGGGCTAGATAAAAGGGCAGACTGCGTCACTGCCAGTTTGTAGTCAGGTAGATGAGGCAGAACTGCTTCATGCCAGTCTGTAGTAGGGTTTGATCAGGGACAACTGTTCCTGCCATCTGGAGTCAAGGCTAGATTAGAAAGGGACTGCTTCATGCCAATCTGGTAGTCGGGCTAGATCAGGGAGCACACTGCTTCATGCCAGCGGGATTCATGGCGAGATCGGGGGGAGGAGCCCCTTTTCTGCGAACGGGTAGTCGGGGCTAGATCAGCAGCAGACTGCTTCACGCATCTGGAAGTCAGGGCTAGATGGGGGTAGCAGACGTCACTGCCGTCGGTATCGGGGTAATCAGGACAGACTGCTTCATGCCGCTGGTAGTCATTGTAGATCAGGGCTGATGCTTTCTGCCAGTTGGTGTCATGGCTAGATCGGCAGCGATGCTTCACTGCCAGTCTGGTAGCCAGGTCTAGATCAGCAGCAGAGTTTCACTGACAGTTTGTTGTCGGGGCTCAGGGCAGACTGCTTCATGCTTTTTCTGGTAGTCATGGCTAATCGCAGCAGACTGTTTCTCTGCATCTGGAGCAGGGCTAGATCGGCGCAATGTTTCCTGCCAGTCTGAAAGTCAAGGGCGATCGGGGAGCAACTGCTTTCCTGCAGTTGGTGTCGGGGCTAGATCGGGAGTGGACTGCTTTATGCCGTCTTGTAGTCAGGGCAGATCAGGGGAGACTGCTTCCTGCCAGTCTGGTATTCAGGGTAGTGGGGGAGCAGACGCTTCATGCCGCTTGTAGTCAGGGAAAGACAGGAAGCAGACTGCTTCACTCCCGTTGGTGTCAGGGCTTGTCATTTGCAGACTCCTTCAGTCCAGCTTGTAGTCAGGGCTAGATCAGGCAGGAGACTGCTTCATGCCAGTCTGGTAGTCGGGCTGCGGGGAGAGACTGCTTCTCTGCCATTGGGTAGTCAGGTAGACGGGAGCAGACTGCTTCACTGCCGTCGGGGTAGTCAGGGGTAGTCGGCGCAGAGCTTCCTGATAGTCTTTTTTGTCAGGGTAGATCGGGGGACCGACGCTTCACTCCTGCCTGGTAGTCAGGGCAAATCAGGCAGCAACAGCTTCCTGCCATTCTGGTAGTCAGGGGAGATCAGGCAGCAAACTGCTTCACTGCCAGTCTCGAAGTCAGGGCTAGATCAGGAAGCAGACTGCTTCACTGCCAGTCTGGTAGTCAGGGCTAGATCAGGGAGCAGACTGCTTCCCTGCCAGTACTCACCTGTCTTAAGGTTGTATCAAGTAACACAAACGTCAGTAAGGCAGACTTAAACAAGTGAACAATAATTTACCTGAAAGTTCCCTGACTTTTGTTTGTTTTTTTGCGCATGTAAGAGATCTTACCTAACATAAAAATATTTACAATTATCCTCAATATCGATAATAACAATAGCAATAACGTGGTATATATTTATATATTGATAAATAATAACATAACACTGATTATCTCTATTTTAGTTATAAATGTAGGTTTTCTCGCTATAATATTAAGTGATAATCACATTCTCAGACAACAGCTAAATATTACACATTCGGCTATCTCCAAGGTACAACAGTCTGGACAAGTTATCCAAGCATGTTTGTCTGGACAAGTTATCCAGTCTTGATGGTTGGGACAAGTTATCCAGACATGTTGGTCTGGACAAGTTATCTAGGCATGTTGGTCTGGACAAGTTATCCAGTCTTGATGGTTGGGACAAGTTATCCAGGCATGATGGTCTGGACAAGTTTTCTAGGCATGTTGGTCTGGACAAGTTATCCAGGCATGTTGGTCTGGACAAGTTATCCAGGCATGATGGTATGGACAAGTTATCCAGGCATGATGGTCAGGACAAGTCATCCAGGAATGATGGTCTGGACAAGTTATCCAGTCATGATGGTCAGGACAAGTTATCCAGTCATGATGGTCAGGACAAGTTATCCAGTCATGATGGTCAGGACAAGTTATCCAGGCATGATGGTCAGGACAAGTCATCCAGGCATGATGGTCTGGACAAGTTATCCAGTCATGATGGTCAGGACAAGTTATCCAGGCATGATGGTCATAACAAGTTATCCAGGCATGATGGTCTGGACAAGTTATCCAGGCATGATGCTCTGGACAAGTTATCCAGTCATGATGGTCAGGACAAGTTATCCAGTCATGATGGTCAGGACAAGCTATCCAGGCTGATTGTCTGGACAAGTTTTCTAGGCATAATGGTCTAGACAAGTTATCCAGGCATGATGGTCATAACAAGTTATCCAGGCATGATGGTCTGGACAAGTTATCCAGGCATGATGGTCTGGACAAGTTATCCAGGCATGATGGTCCGGACAAGTTATCCAGGCATGTTGGTCTGGACAAGTTATCCAGTCATGATGGTCAGGACAAGTTATCCAGGCATGATGGTGAGGACAAGTTATCCAGGCATGGTGGTCTGTACAAGTTATCCAGGCATGATGATCTGAACAAGTTATCCAGGCATGTTGGTCTGGACAAGTTATCCAGGCATGTTGGTCTGGACAAGTTATCCAGGCATGATGGTCTGGACAAGTTACCCAGGCATGTTGGTCTGGAGAAGTTATCGAGGCATGATGGTCTGGACAAGTTATCCAGGCATGTTGGTCTAGATAAGTTATCCAGGCATGTTAGTCTGGACAAGTTATCCAGGCATGTTGGTCTAGACAAGTTATCCAGACTTCCTGTTGTTGCAAGACTTTCACATCTCTATTGTCTCAGTAAAGTTACTCAGTCATCTGATTATTCAAATTATTATGATCAGTCTTATTAATCAGATTTACCAGATTCATCTGAGTCACTAGGTTCACCTGATTCATCAAATTCACCTGATTCATCAGATTCACCAGATTCACCTGAATCACCAGATTCTTCTGATTCACCAGATTCGTCGGAATCACCAGGTTCACCTCATTCACCAGATTCATTTGATTCACCAGGTTCACCTCTTTCAACAGACTCATCGGATTCAAAAAATTCACCTTATTCATAAGATTCATCTGATCCACCAGGGGCACTTGGTTCCTCAGAAACACGTGATTCCCCAGGTTCACTTGATTCACCACATTCACCTGATTCATCAGCTTCATCTGATTCATCAGGGTCACCTGATTTATCAGATTCACCTAATACAACAGGTTCACTCGATTCATCAGGCTCAACTGACTGACCAGATTCATCTGATTCATCAAGTTCACCTCATTCATCAGATTCACTTGACTCATCAGATTCGCCTAATCCATATAGCCAAAAGGTTCCACCAATTCTGAAAAAAAATAAAAGTTAATTGAATTCTTAATACAGAAACGACTTAAACAAATACCTATATACTGAAAAGTTAATACAGTAGCTACTTGTATACCGTTATGTTAATACTGTAGCTACCTGTATACTGTAAAGTTAATATAGTAGCTACCTGTATACTGTGAAGTTAATACTGTAGCTAACTGTATACTGCAATGTTAATGCAGTACCTACCTGTATACTGTAATGTTAATACAGTAGCTACCTGTATACTGTAATGTTAATACTGTAGCTAACTGTATACTGTAATGTTAATACTGTAGCTACCTGTATACTGTAACGTTAATACTGTAGCTACCTGCATACTGTACTGTTAATACAGTAGCTACCTGCATACTGTAATGTTAATACTGTAGCTACCTGTATACTGTAATGTTAATGCAGTAGCTACCTGTATACTGTAATGTTAATACTGTAGCTACCTGTATACTGTAATGATAATACAATAGCTACCTGTGTACTATAATGTCAATACTCTTGCTAGCTGTATACTGTAATGTTAATACAGTAGCTACCTGTATACTGTAATGTTAATACAGTAGCTACCTGTATACTGTAATGTTAACACAGTAGCTACCTGTATACTGTAATGTTAATACAGTAGCTACCTGTATACTGTAATGTTAATACAGTAGCTACCTGTATACTGTAATGTTAACACAGTAGCTACCTGTATACTGTAATGTTAATACAGTAGCTACCTGTATACTGTAATGTTAATACTCTTGCTACCTCTAAGAACATAAGAACATAAGAAAGAAGGAACACTGTAACAGGTCTACTGACCCAAGCAGAGCAGGTCCATGTCCCCCCCCCCGGATTAGACCAATGACCCACCCCCCGGATTATCCCAATGACCCACCAAAGCTGGTCATCTCCACTCAAGGATGGAGCACTGCACCAAACCCAGCAGCACAAGCTAGTCAGGTCCAACTCACACCCACCCACACCCACTCATGTATTTATCTAACCTATTTTTAAAACTACACAACGTTTATCCTGAATAACTATACTCGGGAGTTTGTTCCACTCACCCACAACTCTATTACCAAACCAGTGCTTTTCTTTATCCTTCCTGAATCTGAATTTTTCCAACTTGAAACCATTGCTGCGAGTCCTGTCATGGCTGGAAATTTTCAGCACGCTATTTACATCCCCTTTATTTATTCCTGTTTTCCATTTATACACCTCGATCATATCCCCCCTAATTCTACGCTTTTCGAGAGATTGCAGATTCAAGGAGTCAGTCTATCCTCATAGGGAAGATTTCTGATACATGAGATCATCTTTGTCATCCTCCTTTGTACGTTTTCCAGAGCATTTATATCCATTCTGTAATACGGTGACCAGAACTGAACAGCATAGTCTAAATGAGGCCTAACCAAGGATATATAGAGTTGAAGAACAACCTGAGGACTTCTATTATTTATACTTCTAGATACGAAGCCAAGAATTCTGTTAGCTTTATTGCGAGCACTAATGCACTGTTGTCTTGGTTTTAGGTTACTGCTAACAAGAACTCCTAAATACTTTTCACAATCAGTAGTATTAAGATCTACATTATTTAGTTTATATGTGGCATGGTTATTTAACTGTCCAACATTTAGAACCTTGCATTTGTCGATATTAAACTACATCTGCCACTTCTCCGACCATTGCGTCAGTCTATTCAAATCACTCTGGAGTGCTCTAATATCCTCATTAGAATGAATTGGACGGCCTATTTTGGTGTTATCAGCAAATTTGCTTATGTCGCTATTTATTCCCTCATCTATGTCGTTTATGTAAACTGTGAACAACAACGGGCCCAACACTGACCCCTGAGGAACACCGCTTGTGACGTGCCCCCATTCTGATTTCTCCGCATTTATGCAAACTCTCTGCTGCCTATTTGTCAGCCATGCCTCTACCCAGGAAAAAAATTCTCCTCCTATTCCGTGTGCCCTAAGTTTCCTCAATAGCCTCTGGTGTGGAACTCTATCGAAAGTCTTACTGAAGTCCATATACACAATATCATATTCATTACCATGATCTACCTCCTCAAACACCTTAGTGAAAAAAGTTAGTAAATTCGTAAGACAGGAACGCCACTTTGTAAAACCGTGTTGAGATTCATTGATCAATCTGTGCCTGTCAAGATGGCTACGAATTGCTTCTGCAATTAATGATTCCATAAATTTTCCCACTATGGAGGTAAGGCTTATTGGTCTATAGTTCGAAGCCAAGGACCTGTCACCTGCCTTGTAAATAGGTATTACATTTGCCATTTTCCACTTATCAGGCACTATGCCAGTTTGTAGTGACATGTTAAAAAGATTAGCCAAAGGTATGCTAAGTTCCTCTTTACATTCCTTTAACACTATTGCAAAAAGTTCATCAGGACCTGGGGATTTGTTAGGTTTTAGTTTCTCTATTTGTCTGAGGACCATGTCAATAGTTACCGCAATCGTACATTGTTTATTATCATCCTGTTCTACATAATCTATTATTTCAGGAATATCGCTAGTATTTTCCTGGGCAAAAACTGAGAGGAAGTAAGTATTTAGAATTTCACACATATTCTTATCACTGTCAGTGATCTGACCAGAGTTACTTTGAAGTGGGCCAATCTTGTCCCTAATCTTACTTCTGTATACCTGAAAGAACCCTTTTGGGTTCGTCTTTGAATCCGTTGCGACCTTAGTTTCCTAATCCCTTTTTGCTTTTCTTATTCCTTTTTTTATTTCTCTCTTCAATTGAATATATTGATTTCTTAACTGCCCATCCCCTCTTTCGATACGCCTAGAACAGGACGATAATAAACTGTGCACTATTAGGGTCACAAGTGACATGGTCCTTAGGCAAATAGATAAATTAAAACCTAACAAATCCCCAGGCCCTGATGAATTGTATGCAAGGGTTCTAAAGGAATGTAAAGAGGAGCTTAGCACACCTTTGGCTAATCTTTTCAACATATCACTACAAACTGGCATGGTGCCAGATAAGTGGAAAATGGCAAATGTGATACCTATTTTCAAAACAGGTGACAGGTCCTTAGCTTCGAACTATAGACCAATAAGCCTAACCTCCATAGTGGGAAAATTTATGGAATCAATAATTGCCGAGGCAGTTCGTAGCCACCTTGAAAAGCATAAATTAATCAACGAATCTCAGCATGGTTTTACAAAGGGGCGTTCCTGCCTTACGAATTTATTAACTTTTTTCACTAAGGTATTTGAGGAGGTAGATCATGGTAATGAATATGATATTGTGTATATGGACTTCAGTAAGGCTTTTGACAGGGTCCCACATCAGAGACTATTGAGGAAAATTAAAGCACATGGAATAGGAGGAGAAATTTTTTCCTGGATAGAGGCATGGTTGACAAATAGGCAGCAGAGAGTTTGCATAAATGGGGAGAAATCAGAGTGGGGAAGCGTCACGAGCGGTGTTCCACAGGGGTCAGTGTTGGGCCCCCTGCTGTTCACAATCTACATAAACGACATAGATGAGGGCATAAAGAGCGACATCGGCAAGTTTGCCGATGACACCAAAATAGGCCGTCGAATTCATTCTGACGAGGACATTCGAGCACTCCAGGAAGATTTGAATAGACTGATGCAGTGGTCGGAGAAGTGGCAGATGCAGTTTAATATAGACAAATGCAAAGTTCTAAATGTTGGACAGGACAATAACCATGCCACATATAAACTAAATAATGTAGATCTTAATATTATGGATTGCGAAAAAGATTTAGGAGTTCTGGTTAGCAGTAATCTGAAACCAAGACAACAGTGCATAAGTGTTCGCAATAAAGCTAATAGAATCCTTGGCTTCATATCAAGAAGCATAAATAATAGGAGTCCTCAGGTTGTTCTTCAACTCTATACATCCTTGGTTAGGCCTCATTTAGATTATGCTGCACAGTTTTGGTCACCGTATTACAGAATGGATATAAATTCTCTGGAAAATGTACAAAGGAGGATGACAAAGATGATCCCATGTATCAGAAACCTTCCCTATGAGGATAGACTAAGGGCCCTGAAACTGCACTCTCTAGAAAGACGTAGAATTAGGGGGGATATGATTGAGGTGTATAAGTGGAAGACAGGAATAAATAAAGGGGATGTAAATAGTGTGCTGAAAATATCTAGCCTAGACAGGACTCGCAGCAATGGTTTTAAGTTGGAAAAATTCAGATTCAGGAAGGATATAGGAAAGTACTGGTTTGGTAATAGAGTTGTGGATGAGTGGAACAAACTCCCAAGTACCGTTATAGAGGCCAGAACGTTGTGTAGCTTTAAAAATAGGTTGGATAAATACATGAGTAGATGTGGGTGGGTGTGAGTTAGACCTGATAGCTTGTGCTAACAGGTCGGTTGCCGTGTTCCTCCCTCAAGTCAATGTGACCTGACCTGTCTAGGTTGGGTGCTTTGGCTTAAGCCGGTAGGAGACTTGGACCTGCCTCGCATGGGCCAGTAGGCCTTCTGCAGTGTTCCTTCGTTCTTATGTTCTTATGTTCTTATGCCTATATATGCCTCTCTTTTGACCAATGAGATGTTTTAATCCATTGTTCATCCATTTGGGATAATTTTTGTTAGATCTAATTTCCCTACTCGGAACAAAAGTTGTCTGAGCAGCTAGTACTATGCCCTGAAAAACGTCAAATTGGCAACCAAGATCACCTACCTGACCCATAGTCAGGACATCCCAATTCAGCCCACCCAAGTAATTTTTCAGTCCCAGTAAGTCGGCCAAGTGAAAATCTTGGACAGAGATTTGATTGCAGTTATCTGGGTAATTCCATGATATATTGAAACTAAGTGATTTGTGGTCACTTTCCCCAAGCTCATCATTAACCTCAAGATTATTAATTAGTGAATCTTTGTTGGCAAGAACCAAGTCAAGCAGACTGTTTCCTCTAGTTGGTTCTGTCTACTGTATACTGCAATGTTAATAAAGTAGCTACCTGTATACTGCAAT